GGGTGTGGGTGTGGGTGTGGGTGTGGGTGTATGTGTGGGTGTGGGTGTGGGTGTGGGTGTGGGTGTGGGTGTGGGTGTGGGTGTGGGTGTGGGTGTGGGTGTGGGTGTGGGTGTGGGTGTGGGTGTGGGTGTGGGTGTGGGTGTGGGTGTGGGTGTGGGTGTGGGTGTGGGTGTGGGTGTGGGTGTGGGTGTGGGTGTGGGTGTGGGTGTGGGTGTGGGTGTGGGTGTGGGTGTGGGTGTGGGTGTGGGTGTGGGTGTGAATGTGCGTGTGCGTGTGCGTGTGCGTGTGCGTGTGCGTGTGCGTGTGCGTGTGCGTGTGCGTGTGCGTGTGCGTGTGCGTGTGCGTGTGCGTGTGCGTGTGCGTGTGCGTGTGCGTGTGCGTGTGCGTGTGCGTGTGCGTGTGCGTGTGCGTGTGCGTGTGCGTGTGCGTGTGCGTGTGCGTGTGCGTGTGCGTGCGTGTGTGTATCCACCATAACTTATGAACCGATACAAAGAAAAACACCAAATTTTAAACTTAAGCTATATTCCGGCATTCAATAAACTATTTAGATTTTGAGCAGAGTCGGAACATCTAGGGGGGTACTTCATAGGTGGTCATTTTTATATTTTATGAAATATTTATGTTATTTACGTTTGGATAAGAAAATTCTTTAAATAAAAGTTACTTACAATATTATTATAAATATTTTTTGTTTTATACAAAATTTGCCTAAAATGGTCCGTATTCAAGAAATTTGACAAAATGTAGAAAAATGATTTTTTATTAAAATTGTTCAAATAAAAGTGGTTTATTATATAATTTTCTATCTTTTTGGTTATATACATAATTTCTCTAAAATAGACCGTATTCGAGATATTTGAGAAAATATGTAAATTTAGAATTTTAAAGAAAACTCAAAAACGGATAAAGGAAAAAATATTCAATTTTAAACTTAAGTTTTATTTCGGCTTGAAATGAAATGATTTTGGACAAAGTCGGAACATCTGGGGGGGTACTTTATGGGAGGCCGTTTTTATATTTTATGGAATATATTATTTATGTTTGGAGAAGAAATTTGTTCAAATAAAAATTATCTATAATTTTTGCTTAATGTCAAATTTTTCTGAAATGGTCCGTATTCGAGAAATTTGACAAAATGTACAAAATTCTGATTTTTGGGAAAATTGTTAATCTAAAAGTTGTTTGCGATATCGATCTCTATAATTTTTGTTTTTACATGATTTTTCTAAAATGGACCGTAATGTAAAAATAGGAGGAATAGTGCTAAATTTAAATTTTTTAGTATTTTCGTTTTCAATGAATATCTATAGAAAAATGTTTCGAGTTAGATGTATGTGGAAAATGTATATATTTAGTTTATCTCTAAACATTTATAGAAGTGCTACAATAGGTTAACCGGAAAAAGCCTATAATAACCAGATAGGAAAGTCATGTGTTGGACACATCAGATTTTTCAACATATCTGGATTTGACATCTAACTAAAGAATTATGCTGTAAAGTTAGAATATAATAGAAGCCTTCGAGTCACGTGGCAACTTTCTGTCTCAAGAGGCAAAGTATTAATTTTCGCTCTTATTACACAAATAGCTATTTTGGTTAGATTCTATAAATTATAAGATACACAAGTAGTGTAATTAAAAATACAATTTTTTAAAATGTAGGGTAGAGGCACCACTTATGACCACTACCCCACTTATGGCCAGTTTACTGTAATTGGTGGAATAATAAGCATGGCGTGTATCCACCAATGAGCTTAAAGCTGCTGAAATGTCTAATAATACCATAGTAAGTGGGAACAGAGACAGAAACTTATCTAACCCATACTTTATTTTCATTGTAGCAGTTTGAGTGGCAGTGCATTGAAGGTGTCAAGAAAACTAACGAATTTTATTAAGAAATTGTTCTGAAAAAATCTTTGTGAATCCAGTACTAAATGTTAATTTATCTGCATTTGAGGCGATAGATAAGGTAAATAGATAGTTTTTATTGTATATTTTTTATTGTTAGTTACAATTAATAGTTTTTTTACAGATTTTAGAGGGTGGCCATAAGTGGAATCTAAAAATTCACTAGTTACCCACATATGGCCATCCTGCTGGCCATAAGTAGATAAGCAAAATCCACTTTTGGCCAGTTTACTTTTCTACCGATTCAACATGTTTCAGATAAATATATTTTATTTATTTTAGTGAAAATGTCAAAAGCACCGAAGAAAAACCATAAAAGCAGAGTAGAAAAGTTGAGTAAAGTGAAATTTCAGTACTCACCTACAAAAGTAACTTTAATGTACCGAGAACTACTTTGCGTAATAAAATATCCGGAAAGTCTCCAAGATATTCAAGGCACTGCGGTTTCGATTCTCACTTGGGAAAAGAGACTGAAGACCGCCTAGTCGAATGGATATTAAAATGTGCGAAGATGGGATTTCCAATAAACAAAGACGGGCTCCTGACTTCAGTACAAAAACTTGTTCGAGAGGCAAATATTCAAACTCCTTTTGTCAATGGTCGTCCTGACAAAAAATGGTACTACAGCTTCCTTAATAGACACAAACAACTTTCTCAGAAGAAAGCCGAATACATTCACGGTGGTAGAGGCGCAGTAACTGAAGAGAAAATCCGTAAATGGTTCGACGAGATTCATACGACTTTAAGCGATATCGATACAACCAGTATATTAGAAAATCCGCAAAGGATCTTTAATATGGATGAAACATGTTTCGCTTTAGCACCAAAAAGTGGTATTATAATTGGACCGCAAGGAAAACACGTCCATGATGAACGAACCTCATCAGATAAAGAAAATGTTACTACGCTTTTCACAGCTGATGCAGAGGGAAAGTTTGCTCCTCCAGTTACTATTTTCAAATACGACCGGATTCCATCAGCTGTCTGTAAGGCAGCTCCTAAAGGTTGGGGGCCTGGGAAGAGTGAAAAAGGCTGGATGACTGCAGAATGTTTCTATAAGTACTTTTCTAACGTATTTGTCCCATACCTTAAAGAGTATCAAATAGAGTTACCCGTTATCGTCTTTTTGGATGGACATAAATCTCATCTAACCCTTCATTTAAGTAAATTTTGCAGAGAAAATCAAATAATATTAATAGCATTGGTTCCGAACGCTACTCATATCCTCCTGCCGTTAGATGTCTCTGTGTTTGCGGCTATAAAATGAAAGTGGAAAAATGTTGTTCGAAAATATAAAATAGAGAACAATGGCCAGGAGATTACTAAAGCACTTTTGCCCATGGCACTGTCTGAGTTGATAAACGATCCAAAAATTACATCAAATATAATATCGGGATTTAAAGCCACAGGTCTGTATCCTTTTTCAGCAAATGATGTGGACTACAGCAAAATTATTTTGAGAGATCCCGACATATTGGAAACCAGAGATATTGACCCTGAAGCTGCAGCTTTTCTTCAATATCTGGAATCAAAAATTGATGTGGTTCTCCTGGACCAATTTAAGACAACAAAAAGAAGAAACTACGAATGGGAAGGTAATATTGAAGATAAATCGTTGTATAATATTTGGTTTCAAATTACAAACGATGTAGAAAGTCTACCAAACTTGGCGAGAGAAGATCCTGAACCTGGTAACAATGCTCTTCAAAATGTATCGCCCAAGACGTCTATTGTAAATGATAATATGATAAATGCTGTGCTTCCCGAAAATTCCAATTCTGACCATTTAGGCGATCAAGTTCCAACCACATCGGATGATAGCAACATTGGGATGGCTGGCACATCTCGTCCAGATGTAAAACAAGTCACTGACCACTTTGACGACCAAGTTCCAACCGCGTCGAATGATAGCAATATTGCGATGGCTGGCATATCTCGTTCAGATGTAGAACAAGTCAAATAAAATATTTTTTTTCCACAAAAACTTATCCCTTCTGCAGTATTTTACAATGTATTTCCTTATCCTCAACAAAAGAAAACGGACTCAAAGAGAAAGAGGAAAAAAGAATACATACCAAGTGTTGTCACATCTGATAAATGGGTGGAGTATCATAAAGTAAGTGAGAGAATTAAAAGTGAAAAGAAACAACAAAGGCAAGAAAGGAAGCAGGCTAGAGAGCAGAAAAAACAGATGAAGGTACAAAAAGAAGGCGAAAAACTCCAAAAAAAGACAACTAAACTTGAAAAACAAAACCTAGAACCGGGCTCTTCTTCAGAAGAACAGGAAGACTGGGAGGAAAGTTGTAGCAGTGGAGACGATATTGACTTTATGGAACCTGAACAAGAGTATGAGATACAATCTTTTAAAAGTGCTAATGAAGAGAAGACTGTGTTTTATCCTATAGAAAACGACGTTAGCAGCATAGATAAAGGCGACATTTTAGCAAAACTACCCGAGCCTGTTGTCCAGGAACAAGGCAGAAAGCGTAAAACAATTTTTTCAGGACAAGTAGACATTTACGAACAGATATGAATGCCATTTATAAAGTATTTTAATGTGTATTACTTATTTTTGTTACCAGAAAGTTATTTTGATTTACTTGGAATTATGTAGTTCAATAAATATTTAGTTATATAGCAATACCCAATCAAGTTGTATCTCGATTTTTAAACAATTTTTGGGTGGTCAAAAGTGGGAAAAATTTATGGCCAAATGTAGAAACAGATAGCCAAAAGCGGGGATTTTTGTAGGTAAAAATAGAAACCGTTATAATATTTTTCATTTTACATTGAATCTTTAATATCAGTTGATCTCCTAATAGAGCAGATTCGAAAGCACAAAAGGCGTTGATTGAAAAGAGTTTCTTCGAATCCTACACTTTTCCCAATAGAAAAATAATTTAAAAGTTCTTAAAGTGGCCATAAGTGGTGCCGCTACCCTACTTTTATTCCAGTTGTATATTCCTAAAAAGTATTGCTTATAATTTACAAATACAAATGAGCCAGCTAAAATAAACTGCGTAAATAATATTTTTCTTCTTGAATGAATTATAGAAATATTAAAAGTTTTACTTATATTTTATGAGCTTACCGTCATTTTGTCCAACAATAAGAGAAAAAAGAACACTTATACTAACAAAGAAATATAAACCTTTCATTTTTCAATACCTTGTATTGAGCAGTTTGTAATTCACAATATTTATATAGTTATTTTTGTTTAATATATTTATATATACATTACATGTATTTTTAATATATTTGACATACTTATTTAAATTTAAGTAAACGCATTATCCACATAATTATACACCTTGTTTCTATTTTTGATGCGACATTTAATGTGGTGAATACCCTGTTAAGATTTTATAATTAAAGTTTTAAACGCATGTTTTTATCCATGAATGATAACATTTTATTTAAAATTTTGTTTATTTTTTATTTAAATTCAGAAATATTACCAATTTCACAAAATAATTATTTTTATCCATAATAACTTATAGTGGTCCGAAATAGTTTTGGTGAAGGGAAATACAAAGTCTGTCAAACACTATTAAATTGTGTTTTACTTATTCTTTTAATGAACTAATAGTTAATTGAAGCAAAAAACGCAAAATCTCTAGGTACTAAATTTATTTAAGCTAGGCGACCGTTTTCGCTTAGCATAAAATGTTGTAAAAAATGTATTTTATAATAAATAGTTGTAGTAATTAATTAACAAAACATCAACCTTAGGTACTAAAGTTTACTATTAACAAAAACCGGAAAAAATGCAGTTTCCATTTTTTGCATTTTTTCCACAAATTAAGAAATGTTGCATTTTTTCAAATTTTCCATACATTTGGCATTTTTTTTTATAAATTCAGAAATATTGCATTAGTTTTCTATTTTCAATCCGAAAGGTTCACTTCCAAGTCACGTATTAGTTGTAAACTCATTGGGTGGTCATAATCTATTTCTTAAGGAAAATATTTAAATTAGGTAATTTATTTTTATTACCCATAGTTAGATATTAATTCCTTATCTAACCGTAGAATAACATTACGGGTGATTTGACAATTTGATTGGAAACAACTGTAAGCTTTGTGTAGGGGGAATAAGTAGGTAGGTACCAATGGCGACTCGTGGTAATTTAAAATGGGTGTTCACTTTTTCCAATAATTTTATCATTTGTACAAAACTTTGTACAAGAGCCAATATCGCTGTTTCATATTATTTGAGTTTGTACTAAGTGTAGTTATTATTATCAACATCATACTGTTTTCAAGCACTAAAACTATTAATAAATGAATATTTTAGATATTGTTAATATTTTAATATTTGTTTTGTTTTTAATACATTGAAAACCACTTATAAATAGGTATTATTAGTTAGTAAACTGACTTTTCTTCATAATTTGAGATTATTTTTAAATATATATCAGGTTATGTAGAAAGCTTGACATTGATTTTTGTGTAAAAAATATTATATGACACTTTATCTACCATTTTTCAGTTTTTATTGTAAGTTTAATCATTTTTTTTTTAAATACCTTTTATTGGCAAATAAAATAAGAACTAATGTTTTAAATATTTATTTTATAAGATCAGTCCCATCACAATACCTAATATTACACAGATACAAACTAGAATAAAGATATATAATGCCTGGTATTCTAAATGATACTCTTTGTAGTTTAACAGACTTCTTAATCCCCATTTTCAACCAGATTGTTTTCACAATCAATAGGCCTCATCTCCTTAAAGAGCTTGATTTTTACTAAACATTTCATGTCGATATCGCTTTTCATTTTTGATTTTTTTTTTAATTTCAACCCCTCTTAAATCCCCCCTATTTAATTAGATTTTTGTATAATTAAAGGGATTTTTCTCTATTTAGAGCTTAATCTTTGCTAAAAATTTCAAGTTGACATCATTTTTCGTTTTTCAGTTAGGATTTTTTTTTATTATTTTAACTCCTCTTAACTCCCCAAAATTATTATATTTTTTTTTTAATAAAAATTTCATGTTGATATTGCTTTTTCTTTTTAATTTAGGATTTATTTTTAATTTCAACCCATCTTAACCTCCTATTTTTAATCAGATTTGTTAAAAATCAATAGGCTTTGTCCCCTTATAGAGCTTGATTTTTGCTTAAAATTTTCAAGTCGATATCCTTTCTAGTTTTTGACTTATCGTGCAGACAAAAACCGTGACATCGGACAGACGGACAAAGTAAAGCTATAATACTCTTCCAGAATACTGTATGAAGAGTAAAAAAAAATATATATAAGGTAAAATAAACAATTTAAGAAGGTCAACAATAATATTCAACTTCTTTTATCAAAGGATACTGAAAGTTTGAAATAACAGCACATAATTGAACATTTACTGTCCACTAAAATAGTGAGATACACATCGTTAAATGTTATCACACTTAATTCTCCATATGACCCTTACTAAATGTATTTCACAGCACATTCCAAAGTATTCTTGCTCTCACTAATGTCCTGCGCTCATGGCTAACTTGCCTGTCCAAGTTTACTAAAAAATTATGTGTTTTAATAAATAATAGAATAATATTATTTTGTCTAAATAGGTAAATCCGCTTCATCTGTATTTTCAAATTATTAATTGTAGATAAAATATTAATGCTTTAATATACGAGTATACTTATAGGATTGATGAACCAGAGCATGTAGATATGTGGGATGTGACTTGTTAAGTGCCTAATCAAAATCAAAATTTGTTTGATACTTATGGCTCTTTTCGAGACCAGTGTTGCCAGAGGCCTTCAAAGAATTGTACAGATCCTAGGACAAAATTGTACCAGATTTTAAACGATTGTACAGAAACGAAATATGTATGTAAACTAATTGTTTATCAATAAATTCGGCAAACTACATGTTAATTCTAAATACCTTTATTAAACTAAGTTGTGACGTGACTTTGTTATTTCGCCCATCCCTACTCAGAGAGATTACGAAAATTTCGTTGAAAAAAAAATAGACAATTTTTCCCACAAATTCTCGTTCATGTGAACTTAGCTTTATTATGGAAGTACTTTTTTTACTTCCTCATAAAAGATATCCATTTTATCCACGATAACTCAAGAACGGATACAAAGAAAAACACCAAATTTTAAATTCAAGCTTTATTTAGGCCTGCAGTGAACTAATTAGATTTTGGGTGGTAGTCGGAGGAACATCTGGGAGAGTACTTTATAGGGGGTCATTTTTATGTTTTATAGAATATATCTGTTATTTACGTTTAGAGAAGAAAATGCTTTAAAAAAAAGTTATTTCTTAGTTCTAATATTATTTTCTATAATTTTTGTCTTTTATAAAATTTTCCTAAAATGGTCCCTATTCGAAAAATTTGACAAAATGTAAAAAAAATCTATTTTTTATGAAAATTGTTTAAATAAAAGTAGTTTGTGATATAATTCTTGTCCCATATATAATTTCTATAAAATGGCCCGTATTCGAGATATTTGAGAAAAAGTATAAATTTCGAATTTTTAAGAAAACTTAGAAATGGATAAAGAGAAAAACACCAAATTTTAAACTTAAGCCTTATTCAGGTAAACTGCGGTAAACTGATTAGATTGTTGGCAGAGTCGGAGTATCTGAGAGAGGGGGGAACTTTACAGGGGCTCGTTTTTATATTTTATGAAATATAACTGTTATTTAGGTTTAGAGAAGAAAATTCTTTAAAAAAAGTTACTTCTAATATTATTCTTTATAATTTTTGCAAAATACAAAATTTTCCAAAAATGGTCCGTTATTGAGAAATTTGACAAAATGTGCGTAATTCTAATTTTTAAGAAAATTTTTAAACTCAAAGTTGTTTACAATATCGATCTCTATAAGTTTTGTTTTATACATGATTTCTCTAAAATGGACCGTAATGAAAAAATTGAAGAAAAAATGTAAAATTTTAATTTTTCAGTATTTTCGTTGGCAATGAATATAAACTGCTGGCCACTCGAACTTATTCATAGAGATGTTTAGGCAAAATTTAAAGTTCAGTATTTTCAGCACATGATTTCCCTATATAGTTATTACAGGCCTTTTCCGGTTATTTTGTACAACCTATTGTAAATGTTTAGATGATAAACTATATGCATTTTCCACATATTCGAATAATTGTTTTTATTATATATACGCACTTATACATTATCTCTAATGAAGGCCATCTTGTTTGACTTAATCTCAACAATTTGTGGGGTTTCGTGTCAATAAATTCTTGAAATTCTTTATAAACGATAAGCCTTTTTGGACTTTTCGATATATGTTGTGTATATCTTGGACAAACTGTAGATGGTATTTTTTTGCCGCTTCTGATGCACATAGATGTAAGGAGTGACATATACAACCAACAACAAAAATATTTTAATTACTTTTTCTTTAAGTTTTGCTTGTACCTATCTGCCCCATCATAACAGAAGCATTATCTGCACCGAAACCAATAACATTATGATAATTAATTTCAGATTTGTCTAGTCAATCCAAAATGGCTTTAGTGAGACCATCTGCAGAGCAATTATCTACCTCTACCAGTGACAATAATTGGTCTTTAATGGAACTTTTTTGTAGAGATGTCTGTTGTTTCATCTACTATTCAGTTATTGCACAAATTCATTTTCAGCCTCAAGCTTCAACATTTTAATTAGTTGGGTAACTTTTGTTCTCCCACAATTTATATTTTTCACCACTTGAAAATCTGGAATACTAGATACTGGAAGTTTAGGAACATGATCCATTAGCAACATTGGGCAATTATATTCTGCGATGAAGCCCATACTCAAATTGTACTCGGCTGAAGATTCTTGAAGCAATGTTTCAATGTTTCCTGTATTTGTAACCTTTTTGGCATTTTTTTAGTGAAACTAATTCTTTTTATGCCTTGTTAAATGAGCTGCTCCACCCTCAACTTTGTGATTACATAAAGAGCAAATTTTCTCTCTATTACGAAGTAGTTTTACCCATGGAAACTTTGTCTAAATTTATGATCATATTTTTTTTATCTACAAAGAAATTAAAAGAGAAGCGTGGGTCTTATTATTATTATTTAAAATAAATTATGGCATTTGTAGCCGTCACGCTACGCCATTGGAAAGCCAGGATTTATTTTCAGAACAAAAATATTTTACAGTAAAAAAATTACCTGCTGTGGAGATCTATCTATGATAAATCACTATTTTGTTCTAAAG